CACATGCACTCCTTAGAAGGCAGGTTAATGTTCACACTCACACCCCTGAGAAGGCAGGTGATGTTCGGGACCAGCAGTTAGCGTAATGGCTATGTTGCTGGACTCCCTCCCACATAGTCAACCGCGGTTCGCGTCCTGGACCTGGTGGCTTAAACTCACGCCGGGCGTGTGTGCGTGCGTGCCCAAGATCCCAAGAGGAGAATGGAGGAGAAGGGATTGTGGCGTGACCATCCCCCCTGGGGGGTGATTTCTCACTTTCTATCTCTCTGCTCTCTGTCTCTTTAGAAGGCAGGCGATGTTCACACTCACACATGCACCCCTTCAGAAGGCAGGCGATGTTCACACTCACACATGCACCCCTTCAGAAGGCAGGCGATGTTCACACTCACACATGCACCCCTTTAGAAGGCAGGCGATGTTCACACTCACACATGCACCCCTTTAGAAGGCAGGCGATGTTCACACTCACACATGCACCCCTTCAGAAGGCAGGCGATGTTCACACTCACACATGCACCCCTTCAGAAGGCAGGCGATGTTCACACTCACACATGCACCCCTTTAGAAGGCAGGCGATGTTCACATTCACACATGCACCCCTTTAGAAGGCAGGCGATGTTCACACTCACACATGCACCCCATTAGAAGGCAGGTGATGTTCATACTCACACATGCACCCCTTAGCTGGCCGGGCAAGAGCAGTGACCATGATGCTCTTGCCTGTCACCACGGTTAGAGGCAGGGCCCTTCATCGAGAGCCCCTGCAACAGCAAACGGGAACCGTGACCACTTCTAAAACCTCAGAACTGCTAGGAACGTAACTGACAGGAGAACAGGCCAAACGTGGGTGCACATGCACGTGTATCAAGCATTCCTCAAGAAATGAACAAAATGCCACCTAAGCCACTACCACCAGACACCGGGCAGGTCCACTTTAGTAAACCCACACAGGGCAGGTTGTGCTGGCCACGCCGCACTCCCTTCTCTTCCATGCTCCTCTCAGGATCTTAGGCATGCACCCAGTGTGATTTTCAAGTTGCCAAGTCCAGGTCTCGAACCACAGTAGGCCCTATGGGAATCCAGGACTTTAACCACACTAGCACCTACTAACCCCATTTCTTTTCTTTTCTTTTTTTTTAATAAAAAGAGTATACTGCACAAGTAATAAAACAATATTAAAGCCACTTTCATCTGGGGAAAAGCAAACGCTGTGTACTAGCACAGAGGGATGATGGGGCCCAGTCCAGGACAGGCAGAGAACACACCCTCCTGGATAATGTGTGTGTAGGCCTATACATGTATGTGCATATCTTCACATGCCTGTGTGCCTATGTGTGTGTTTTGTGTGCCAGTACTTCTGTGTATGTTCTCTTATGCACATGTGTTCCTGTGTTCTGAGTGTGTGCTTCTGTGTGCTTCTGTGTGCATGTGCATGTGTGTGTTCCTTCACGTATGTGCTGTATGCATGTGCTGCTGTGTGTATGCTGTGTGCATGTACTGTGTGCTTGTGTGCATGTACTGTGTATGTCTGCTCCTGTGTGTTCCTGTGTGCATGTGCTCTTGTGTGTACTCCTGTGTGCATGTGTGCTCCTGTGTGTGCTGTGTGCACTCCTGTATGCATGCATTCCTGTGGCCATGTATTCCTCTGTGTGTGCTGCATGTACTGCTGTGTGTTCTCCCTGTGTGTGCGCTCCTGTGTGCCTGTCCTCCTCTGTGTGTGTGCTCCTGTATGTATGCATCACTGTGTGCATGTGCTTCTGTGTACATGTGCTCCTGTGTGCTCCTGTGTGATTGTGTGTGCTGTGTGCATACCTGTGAGCACGTGTTCCTGTGTGTGCATGCTCCTGTGTGTGTGTTCCTGTGTGCTCTTGTGTGCATGTACTCCTACGGATGTATACATTCCTGTGTGCATGTGCTTCTGTGTACATGTGTTCCTGTGTGCTCCAGTATGTGCTATGTGTATGTGCTCCTGTGTGTGCTGTGTGCATGTACTCCTGTATGTATGCATTCCTGTGTGCATGTGCTTCTGTATATATGTGCTCCTGTGTGCTCCATTATGTACTATGTGTATGTGCTCCCGTGTGTGCTCCTTTTTGCATGTGCTTGTGTGTGCACTCCTGTGTGCACCTGTAAGCATATGTTCCTGTGTGTGTGCTCCTGTGTGTAAGTGCTCATGTGTGTACTGTGCTCCTGTATGTGTTCCTGCACGCATGTGCTCCTGTGTACATGTGTTCCTCTGTGTGATCTTGTGTACATGTGCTGTGTTTCTGTGCATATGCTTCTGTGTACATGTACTCCTGTGTGCATGTGTGTGCTTGTGTGTTTGCGATCCTGTGTGCACTCCTGTGTGCATGTGTTCCAGTGTGTGTGTGTGTGCTCCTGTGTGCTCCAGTGTGTTCCAGTGTGTGTGTGCTCCTGTGTGTGCATGCACTGTGTGTGCTCCTATGTGTGCATTGCATTTTTCCTGTGTGTGTGCTCCTGTGTGCTTGTACTCCTGTGTGCATGTGCTCCTGTGTATGCTGTGTGCATGTGCTCCTGTTGCATATGCTTCCCTGTGTAAGTGTTTGTGTGTGCTGTGGGCTTGTGCTCCTGTGCATGTGCTCCTGTGTGCTCCTATGTGTGCTCCTGTGTGTGTGCTCTTGTGTGCATGTGTTGTGTTCCTGTGTGTTCTTCTGTGCATGTGCTCCTGTGAGTGCTCTTGCGTGCATGTGCTTGTGTGTGTGTGTTCCTGTGTGCTCCTGGGTGCATATACTCCTGTGGGTGTCTCGTGTATGTGCACGCGTGTCTGGGACCGCATGTGTCTGTGCAGACACAGGTGGGTGGACAGATGGGGTGCTATCGGGATGTCCTCTCCGTTACTCTTTCCACTGGAAGCAGTCAGTCAGGTAGGAAGCACCGATCCGGAGCTTTTTCTCCTCTGGCCCCTGTAGGGGCAGGGGCAAGACAGGGGCGGGGCAGGGGCAGATACCCACTGGCCCAGCTACTGACAGCCAGCTACACCCCTTCCTGAGCTGGGCCTCCTGACAGAAAAGGTAGCCGAGGCAGGAGCCAGGAGCCAGCTCCCCCTCCCCACAGGCACACACGCCCACGGCAGCCCTGGCGGCGACATGCCATGCTGGGGTCCGAGAGCCTCCTCTCAGCCAAGTGGCGGTCCACTGCAAAGCCACCCCAGTGACGGTGCTCTGGGTAGGCTCAGTTTCACCCTCTGCCCAGGCACCTTCCTCACCCCTTACAGGGTGACCCCTAAGCCTGCGTGGGGAGCCCCATCTCTGACACAAGTCTAAGGAGATCCAGCAAAACATCACTGCGGACAGGGCTGCTCCGAGCAGCATGAGGCCAGCCTGGATGGGGCCTGGCCTGCTCAGCCCTGTCCCCCATGGCTCCACCCCTCCTCTGCACCCCCTGCCACCATGCTCTCAGCAGCAAGCCCCCATCAACTCCCCCCACACTCGGGGCTGGCCCAGCCCTGCTCAGCCCCATCTTCAGGCCATGGGGCAGGCTCAGCCCCAGCCTCACTCCCACCCACAGCGCTCTCCACAGGAGCAGGTCTATGCTTCCACGCACCCTCCCCCATGTGCCACCATGCAGTCTGCTCCAGTCCCCTCCCGCTCAATCCTGGGAGTCGGGCACGGACAGGCTGCAGAGGCACGGGCACCCCCAGCAGTCATCTGCAGGTGGTGCTCCATCCGGGCCCCGGCTGCCTCACCACCCTGCTTCCTCCACTCCCAGAACCCCCTGGGAGGACAGGCGAAAGTAGGCACTGAGGGCAGAGGGGCGGCGAGCACAGGCGCTGGTCCCCGCCTGGTAGGGGCGCGACACGGCAGACCCTTAAAACACACCCATGGGTCGCTTTATTGCCAAGTCTGGAGGGAGACCCCACCCTGCAGGTACAGAGACTTCCCACATAAGACAAGCTTCTGCAGAGGCCAACGGCCTGGGGCTGGCCCCACAGCACAGCCCCAGGCCCTGCCTGGGTCCCAGGAATCGAGCGCCGCTCCTTCACTGAGACTCCTGCCTGCGTGCCTCCTCCAGCTGGGGCTCTGGACAGGGACAGGCGTGGGAGGAGGGTGAGGGCCCGGGCCACTCTCAAGGAGCCAGGTCTCCAGGAGTGGGGTCCTGGACACGTGCCCTAGACCTGGCCGCTGCGGCTCAGCCCAGCTCCATAGTAAAGGTCCACCCTCCATGCCATGTGCCCCACCTCACTCGGGGCGACGGGAGCCCCGACTGGGCACTGAGGTCCGCGGACCCACTCTGCCCTGTGCCCACACGCAGCGTGCAGCCAGTCCCCAGCGTGAGCTCTGCAGACGGGGTCTCTGGCCCGGTCCCAGCATCCCAGGCAGTGGCCAGATTCAGGGATACACCTTCTATGGTGGCCTGATACTAAACGCCCCATTTTACAGGCGAGGAATGGCGTGAGCTGTGAACAGCTCTGAGGGCCCAGGCACAGGCAGGGAGAGCCCGGGCTTACCCACACTGCACTGTGGACAGGCTCTGCGAGGGCAGGCAGCCCCCCACCCCTTCCCGCCTCTCCTCCCCCAGCCTCAGGGCTGGGCAGGTCCCAGGGAGTGGCCCTGCCAGACAGCTCTGCACATGTAGGCATGCCGCCTGAGCCCTCACGGCACGGGGTCCGGCGTGGCTTCGCTCTGGTGCCCGGGTCAAACCGAGGGGGTGGGGTGGGGGGGTCAGAAGACAGACACCTGGACTGCCACACTGAGTGAGGTCAGGAGCCGTCTCTCGGGGCAGATGGGGCCCGAATAACCCGCATCCAGGCCAGCCGTGTCAGGCAGAACCCCTGCGTGGGCCCCAGGTCCACGGGCCCTTCCAGGGAGCCAGGCGTGGCGCTGCCCCTCCTGGGAAGGGCAAGGTGTCTCTCAGCCCTCCACGCTCAGCTGCAAACTAGAAAAGTGGCCTGATCTGAAGAGACCTGGGGCGATGGTGGCTCACCCCCGCCCCCAAGGCCTGAGCTCGTCCCTTAAAGCAGCGGGCGGGCCTGGACCTACCGACGGCCAGGATGCTGCCACAGTCCTTCCTGTGGAAGTCGGCCCAGGCTCTGGTCTTGCAGTACTTGCCGCAGGTCAGGATGCCATAGCAGTGGGCGCAGGGCGAGAGGCGGACGCCGACGGAGCGGCCACACTGGTAGCAGAACTTGAAGAAGGGGATGCTGCAGCAGCCATGGCCCCTGGTCAGCCGGGCAGCTGCTCAGCGGATCCACATCCCTGCCTGGGAGCACCCGCGTCCCACTAGATGGGCCAGGGCACCTCCACTTCCCAGCCAGGGGCAACTTCCCACGTGGACCCCAGAGGGCACGTGTGTGCACCGAGCGGCCCTGGACAAGGGCGGGACAGACCTAAACCCAGGCGCACCTTGTAGGGCCCACCTCCTCTGCTTCGGAAGGACCCTGAGCCTGCCACCCCACCCTCCATCCCTTCACTCGGGCCCAGAGCTGATGAGGCAGGAATAAGGCCTGGTCCCCGCCCTCTCATCACAGAGGAGAGGCTGTCCCAGAGCATCGGCGTGGGCATGGCACCTTTGCCCTGCACGTCCCAGACCCAGGAGAGAGTGGGGGTGGCACTGGGACGTGCAGGGCACAGGCTTGGCCATGCCACTCAGCAGAACAGAGAAACATCCACGCAGCACATGGGGGCCGCCTTGGGAGTGGAACCTGGGCCCTGGCCACACTCAGCCACCACAGCTGAGACCACCGTCCTGGGACTCTGCCCTGACCTCCAGGAGCCACTGGCGTGGTTCTGAGAGTGCTCTGCACGCCCGTCTACGACCTTCCTCCTGGCCGGAGCCCACACCCAAGCAGGGCTGCCCTGCCAAGACGAGGCCTGCCCACTCAGGGGATGGGGACAAGGCTGCCAGGAGGGGCGGTGGGGCCAGGTTGCCCTGTGCAATCCCAGGCACCGGCCGTACCACTTACAGCTCCCGCTCCTCTGCGTGCTCCTCTGTGTCCAGGGCCCTGGGCAGGGTACCGCCCTTCTTTTTCATCCTGTGGCTGGGGATCAGCTCCGCTGCAGCAGAGGGAGTGTGTCAGTGCCAGGCGGGCAGGCCAGGGCCGGGCAGAGCTGGGCTGCTGCGGACACTGCCTCTTCGGGCCCCTTGTACCACCTCCCTCCCCCCAGGGGAGACCGGAGGTGCCTATGCAAGGAAGCAGAGTGGGACTCAGTCCTGCAGGCCTGAGGTGGTCCCTGGTCGCCACGGGGTACACTCCTTGGCCACCCTCTGCCCTCCATCCAGCCCTGCAGCCTCTGGCCACCCCATACCGATGCTTTCACCCAGGCTCAAGGCCCCACCCCAACTGAGGAAAGGCCCCAGAAGCACCAGGCTTCTTGGGCCTTGCCCAGCTCAGCCTTTAGGGGAGTGTGGCCCTGCTATGGGGCAGCTGGTGGTTGAATCACAGTAAGGTGACCAGAGGTGATGGCCCCGAGTGACCGCCTGAGGCTCTGCCCGTCTGTCTTCCTGTCCCCAAGCATCAGTCCCCACCAGAGCAGTTTCCTCCCC